CAAGATATATTTTTGTGTGTGTGTGTGTGTGTGCTGCTTGAGTGGGGATAAAAGTGTGGAGTTTGTGGAGTAAAGAGAAGTTGGGAGGGGAGGGAGGGACGATTGTTTTTAGGGGGCGCCCTTTTTGTGTGTTTAATGCTATTAAAAAGGCTTTCAACGGAATATTTTTGGGTTATTTTGGAATCAATTAATCTATTAAATTGTATATATTTAATAGCATAAAATGGTTGTGGCTCTCTGGCTGGCCATTTTCAGTTCTTTTTTTTTTGGGGTTTTTCAGGGGGCTGGGGGCAAACTTAAATGGATTCTTTAGAATGATTATAATTTTAGGGAAAACTTTGATGTCATTTTGAGTTTACTTTAATGAGAACGATGAATGGTTAACTGATTTTGAAAGGAAAATAAAATTAATTTGGTTCTCTGCTTATTTAATGGCATTAATAATTTTATATGAAATTTAATTCAGCTTTGATTTTTATACTAATTGGTAATTTAATATTGCATAAAATTAGAAAAAGATAATCACTTCTTTTTGTAATTTAATAGTTAGCAAGTTTTAATTTTCTTGTAAACAAAACCGCAAAGAAATTTAAATTTCCCATTTGGCAATTTTCCCGATTGTATCAATATAATTTATTGATATATTGACAAGATTATTGCGGCAGACCGAGCCAATCGAAAAGCCAATTTAGCCAACCGAAATCAAACAGACGAAGATTTCAATCAGATTTCCAAAGAAAAGTGTCAACCGAACACAAAATTTGCCAAAATTATAATAGTGCCAAGAAAATGGCAAACAAAAAGAAAAAGAAGCCAACACTATATATTTTTGCCATATGTTTGCGGGCAAAGTAAATCATAGTTCAAGGCTGGATTTAATGCATTTCTCAGCCTGAGATGGCTTAGCGTACAAGGGCGAAAACCACTTGTGCCTGCCAGCAACTGGAATAAAAATGCAATGTTTTATATACATTTTTATATATATATAGAAGTACATTCACAAACAAACGTATATGGAATGCGCATATATAATACATAGAGGACCACAGCCTGCATTTAATACAAATATAAATAAAAACGGAACTAGGTTGCCCCTTAGCTAAGGCGGGATGTGGGGTGACAGAGTGTTACATCAGTGGAAAAGAGCTTTGCCTGACCTTGACTTATAAACACTTTTATAACAATTATTTTTTTTTTTGCATATTTCTCGTCGCTGCTTATTATTCCAACTTGCAGCCATAGAACAGAAATCATTAAAAAAAAATAAGAGGAAAAAAATCTAACGTAATAATAAAGAAGCGAAACCCACTCGACTTGATGCAAATAAGCAAAACAGCAGCAGCTGAAGCGTTTTGAGTGATGCTTATGAAGCAAAGCCAGCTGAGTGGGTCAGTTGAGCCAGGCACATGCAATCACAGTGAGCATTGGCTATAGAAAATGATAGAAACAAAAAAAATTAACAAAAAAGGTTAAAAAATAAAAATCACTCTTAAAAAGATTTTTTAAATTTCCTTAAATTAAAATCGTAGTAAAAATATTTTCTTAAAAAAATATCTCTTTGTTGCGATAGCTAGTAAACTGCTCTCGCGGCATCTGGCAACGCCAAAGTTACAATAATCGATAGTTTGAAGCCTGGCTGTTAAATCTCTGCTAAGTCAGCTGGTAACACTAGAGGGAAGAGGACGAAAAGTGAGATTATGAAGATAAGATTTGATTATGAATTGTATTATTATATTAATTCCTAGAAATTTAAAGTGCTTATCAGCTGTTAGCCTTTGCTGTTCTTTCCTTTACTGGATTAAATTTAAAATTTCTTATAAAAGTTACTTTTTAAATTGTAAATTATAAATTATAAAATATGCATTGCTGTTAAAAACAACCAAAAATATAAACAAATATATAATAATTTAAAAAATATTCTAATATACATAAGAAAACAGTTCAATAACATTGTGTACTCACTGTACCAGTCCCCTTATAATTGCATACAATCAGGTGACTCTCTCAGCTAGTTAAAGATTTGCTCATGTGGGTAGGGCCCCCCAACCCCAACACCATATTACATACACCTTATACCCCACTGCATCGCCCCCTGTTTTCCACAATAACAATAACTATGCATGAGCTGTAGGAAAGTCAAATAATAATGATTGGAACGAACCACAAAAACCGACTGCGCCACAAAATCAATAATTAAAATCGCTGCAAGGTGCTTCTCTTGATTACACGAAAAGATACAAAAATCATTTTTAGCTTGGGAATCGAGAGAAAAAGTAAATGTTAACTCAAAAAGCCAACAACGAAAAATCAGCAATTTAAAGAGACACAAAACAAAAAAAAGAAACTCAAGACAAAGGCAAGAGGCAGTAAGCGATGAGTAGTAACCGATAGACAGAAAATAAGAGAATAACGATATAGCATCATAGTTAGAACAAAAAAAAAAAAAAACAAAACAAAAACAAAGTAAAAAGCTTAAACCGCAAAAAATAGCATCGTTAGATGCGCCCCAAGGTCAGGCGGGTATTTTTTTATCGTATTGAATTCACGGCGTTGAAAATGAGATAAAGAAAAATATAAAAACTAATCAAAATAATAACTCAGAGCAATTATAGACGATTAGGAGTAAAGTAAATGGGTCTTAGAACTATTAGATACTCTAATCATAAGTTAATAAGTTTATTCTTAAAAATTATGTGTAATGACTAATAAAAGTTTTTGTTTATTGTTGATAAATATTTGAAAAATTAATATCTGGAAAACTGATAAGTAAAATATGACTAAATAAGAAGTATGATTCTCTCTTGCAAGAATTTTTAAAATCCTTTAACTTAAGCTTTAAGTCAGCAGCTTAAAATTAAGTTTAATAATAGATGTTGAAGCTGCCCCCTTTGGGGGAGGTTTTAAAGTCTGTTGAAAATTATTTGCAAATTGCTTTAATTCATATTAATTGGTTTAATTTAAACTAATATGCAGTTTTCTGCATCTTTAAAGTGCAACTGACCTAGTAATAAAGTGAAATGATAAATATGGAGCTGTCACTTAAAGTGGAAATATCTCTGGGCGGTACAAATAGAGATGTTAATAAAAGCTACTTGGGTTTTTCTACTTCTAAAATTCTTAACTTTAATATTATTAACATAGTTATATCTCTAGCAAAATAGCTCTGGGCCATACAAATAGATCCCAGAAGTAAGAAGGATAATTACATTGGTTTATAGGTTAGCCTTGTGTAAGCCAAAGGGCTTAACAACTTCGATACCAGCTTTATGTTCACACATCTTGGGCCAAGAAGTTATAACTCCTTAATCTGTTGTTGTTGTTGTTTTTCTTGATGTTGCTGTTAAGGTCTCTTGTTGGTATTTTGTTTATCTGCCAACTTTGACAAACATCAGAAATGGATGCCATGGCAAGAAGGGTGACAAAAAGTGTGACAGCATTCTCAAAACTAACTATTTTGCTGGGCCAAACCCCAAAGGCGAATTTCAAATCTGTCAGAGTGCCAAAGTGAAGAAGATATTGCAACATTTTTAGCACTCCAACCGAATGAAGCACAAACGCTATTGACACAAGCTGGATAAGCTGACAAAGGTGCTAAAAAATGTGAGAAGATTGAACGCTTCACTGACTCACCTGCCCAACTGGCTGAACTAACTGACTGACTGACTGACAGACAGTTTATCAAATGATGGACGGGTGTGTATTAGTAGCTGTAGATTCCCAGGCACTTGTGTACGTACCTAAGCTGCTAAGTAACTGAAACTGGAATTAACTGAAGCCATATTTAGTGACAATTAGTGAGACAAAAGCAACAGCAGCAACAAGCGAGCTAAACAATTTTGAATCTCTGAAAATGTGTAATGCGACACAGTTTTGTGAAATGCGAAACTCAGCGAAAAAGTTGACAACTTTGGCTAGGGGAACGTGTCATGACACTTGCCACTCACTCACTGCTCACTCCTACAAATGCAAATTTCAATACGGACTACACTGGATTGATGGGCTAAAATGTCAAGCTTAGGTCATATAAATATCTGGTTTAAAAGGCACCACTCTTTATATTGTCAAAATATTAAATAACAATTTTTAGAAATAATTTAAGCTATGCCGAAAGCCATAATATTAGCTTGACTGATTTTTAGTACAGCTAAAACCATAAAAACGAAACCATAAAATTAGAGAAACATAAAATATGCTTGAGATTTAAGATTTACTCAAGTGATTGGGGGAGTAAGTCAAGTTTAAGAAATATAAAATCGATATGGGTTCTATATATGAATAAATATTCGAATCGCAAAAGCTGAATTCTAAATATTATATTTAAAGATTATATATGGTTACCTGTTACACTGTACAAGCCATTATAGAAAACATTGATTTTAAAACTTTATTTTAATTTATAAATTTTTCTTACTAAAATATAAGTCTAAAAATATAAAATATAGTCTTGGTTGAGTTTTGCTTTTATACTAAAGGCACTTCCATGATTTTTTAAAAAAATTTCACAAACATAGTTTTACAAAGTGCTATCTTATTAAATATCAATAAAAGCAGAGATCTTTGGAGTCTTTATACAATTTTAACTCCTTAGTAAAATTTATTTATCTACAGCTAACAAAAATTTCTAAACTAAAAGCTAACATAGGTTTAAGAGCCATACCAACTAAGGCCTTTGGCTCGTCCTAAGCAAGATTCTGTCTTTGACTTCAACCTTTGTTAAGTTCTGACTATTTGAGTTTGTTGAAAATTCTGATACTAACTGCTGTTTCAATTGCTTGAGAATGTTTGGTTTTAGAATAAAAAGCACAAGTATGTTGATACCCTGAGACCAATTTAAGTAGCTGGCTACCATAAATACGTCTGACCAAAATTCCATAGCTTGGGTCAGAAAGAACATAATCTCAAAGCTCCAAGTTAGACCCATAATGATGACCAGACGTAAGAAGAAGGTATTACTGAAATATAAATTGTTTTAAAATTTAAGAAATGACTTATAATTCGACTTACTTTTGTTTATCCATGCAAATCTTGTGCTCCCTGTCTTGCTTAATGGCAAAGTTTTTAATGATCCTCTTAACCATAGTTATTTGAAAAGCCGTCAAGATAAACATGATCATGTTGAAAGCAATTAGGAAAAGCATTGGTCCATAAAAGTAAATAACGGCCGACCAATCGTAAGCTGAAAATGGAAAATTTTGTTAAATCAAATATCGAATATAAAATTTTGAAAACTTACTATAAACCCAACAATCCATTTTGTAGCCCACACGAGGATTCCATTCTTCGTTCTTTACAAACTCATTAGCTATAAAGGTGACAAAGGTCAAGGTTATTGGCATGCCCCAGGCATATGTGTTGTAGGTTAGAAATTCATTTGTTGTTAGGAAACAATTGGTTAAGAAAGAATTTCCACTGATTGCATTCCAAAGATGTAAGCTGATCACAGAAAGCCAAAAGAACGTGGACATGGCAAAAAAGTAGCCCATGTAACCTATGGAAAATATCAAGGTATTAGATTGTTTTATTGCATACTTTTAGACAGCTTTGTAAGGGATTTTAAAGCTCTGAAAAACATGTTACCTGCTGAAACGCAGAAATCATTTGATAAATCCCACAAGTCCAGCACCAGGAAGAGATAGGCCATAAATAGACTCACTAAATAGCAGATGAAGCACTTTCCCAGCAAGTTTCTCAGATCTTTTAGGTAGAGATAAACGCTGATTGTGAGAACCATGCATACCAATGATATTATCATTACTGAAAGAAATGTTTTCAAATTTTAGGAAGTTAGGAAGTTCTTAAGATTTTTATATTCATCTTTAACTTACCAACTGTCTGCGTTATTTTTGAAGATTTGGGAGGCAAGCAGCTGTATGGCATTATATATGTAGAATTGTGGTCCTCCTTTATATATACATTCTGATGGTAATATTCCTGCATGATCGTCACGACTTTGTCATGATGTAAAGATATATTCTAAGTGGGAAAGATACTTAATATATTGCCTACAATTCACATTTATTATATTAAAACAAACCTTAGATACATCTTTTTGCCGGTTACTTTCGTAATACATCTCATCACAGGTCACTGGCAAATCCCATTGAACTATTAAGTCAGTTTTAAGATACTTTTTGACTACCAAACCATTGTCCAGTGTGATGTTCAGATAAGGATCGATCCCGTCTAACTCTTTCTTTGTCATTTGATAGCATTTGCTATATTCTATTGTATGTTCTGGACAGCAAATCCGGACACATGGCTTTAAATGGCAGATACAACCTCTCGTCACCTCTTCTTTAGAGTCAGGCCTAGTTTGATATTCACCCGTTAAATGGGCGGGAATGAGTAGGCCTTCAAAGAGGTATGAACCATTTGATAGCTTTTGGCCATTGGAAATGTCAACAGTGTCCAAGAAATGGCAGCCGGGTATATTGGCTTTGGATATTTTTACTAACTGAAGGAAAAACAGGGCAAGTTCCAGGAGTAGCCGCATTTTTACGTAATAAAAATGTAATTTTTATAAAAAATAAGTTTTGAAAATAAAAATAAAAATGTTTTTTGTTACAAATCACAAAGAGCGTGAAACATGATTCATTTTTTAATAACAAATTAGTTTTTTTTTTTTTTAGACAGATTTAAAAACGTTTTGAGAAAGAAATTTCATTAGTTTAAACTTTTTATAGAGTTTTAAACACTTTCACTAGTTTAACTTTTATAAAACCCCAGCAAGTTGTATATACTTCCACGACGGTTTTACGATGACTGATCTTGTTCATACATTTTGTTTGCAAAACTCTTATAGAGTTAGTAATTAAATTATAATAATGACTAACTTAGTCAGAAATAATGTTTCTCTGAATCGAAAGAACAGCGATAAGAACTAACAGAGTGCTGGCGTAATGAATTGGCTTTCCGATAAACGTATTTACTTTTTACTTTATAAAACTAATATTAGCTTATCAGGAACTTAAGTTCAATGAATTTATACAGTTTTTTTTTAAATTAAAACTAAAACTATGTGTAATAGATATCTCATTCATGTTTTCTTTCACTACAACTAACTTAAGACAATCGTAAAACAGGCATAACTGAAGTTTTTCCAGTAAAACCGCCCAGCTGGCTTAATGATTTATTGGCCAGGCCACTTAGTATTCTGGTGTTGACGGGGGCCGCAAACCAGAAAAAAAAATATCTGTACCACGTCCATCTCTAATGACAACTGACAACTCTAAGCGAGTGGCATTGAAACATTTAACGCGTTTACATATCTTTGTATGTTTGTAGATTTAAAATGTATGACCACGCATATGGTGTCTGGCTAAGTACATAAATGTATGACTTTGGCTAAATGGAAATGTGGCTGCTTCTGCCTTTTTTTTCTGGGCCAAAATACGAGTAAATATAGACACACACACACACAAACACACACACACACCGTGCATACATAATTAATTTATAAATTGTTAAGACAACGAAAGATACAACACTTGGCCGTACATTTCTTTTGATGATTTTCTTTATCAACTGACTGGAATTTGTTGCTTTTTTTTTTGGAATGAAGCTTTGGGTATGGCAAGGTTGGGGTTGACTGACTGGGGTTGGGTGTGCTACTGGGTGGCTGCTGGGTGGCATCAGGCTGACAGCCAGCGTAACGCTTCGTTTGGTTTTTCCTTGACAGCTAGCCGTACTGGTGTGGGGTTTTTGTATAGAGTGTGGGGTTTGGGTGATACATGGGACTGGGGCTGTACAGTCAGCCTGTCTCAATTAAGCGCAAATTGAATTAAATACTTTCACATGCGAAAACAAAGCTGGCCAAACACGCACTCTACATGCGGGGGAGGCAGGAGACTGAAGACGTGTTTTTCCTATTAAAAAGAAAAATGTGAACGTCGAGAGGACTTGAAAGGAGGAAATGTCCATGAATCTGTGCCAGAGATGAAACAATAGCATAGTCCAAAAGCCTGGGATTCAATGATAACAAAATTGAACGTGTGCTGGGTGTATATAAAGGGCTTATGATCTATCATTTCCAGCAGAAGGCAAGAAAATGACTTACTCTCTGGTCAAAGTTAATTTGAATTTAGTTAAGGCTTCATTAAAAGCCTTCACAAAGGAAATTATAAACTTAAATTCAGAAGCTCAAACTCTATTTAAGACTTTACCTAAGTAAACAGCCACCAAGCTTCTACCTTACTGAAAATTTCTTTATTTATACCTAATTGATATTTTCCAAGAGCTGTTTGTAAAGTTCTGGTTCTTAAAATTTTAAAAACTCTCCCAGGAACATTCAAGTTTGGAGTAGGCTTTAAGCGGCTTAACATGTCAACTGAGACTCGTTAGAAGCTTTGGTGGGACATACCTTTATTCCCCACTCAAACTGAAATTGGTTTAATTATATGGATACCTAAGAACCCGCGTGGGTTCGCTTTTGGACCCACTGTGCTAAGCCCTCAGACTCTGCTGGTTGGCCGTAAATCCGCATAGCCGCCGAGACTATTACGTGGTTAAACGCACCATGTCCACATGGGTCTCAGATGGCCGATCTGCCCGGCCAGTTATTCGCTCAGGCACACACAATCAGTTGACCCAGTCGTGGGAATGGCCAAGGGAATGGGTTGCGGGATATGGGCTGATGTCCAGGATACATGGACATAGATACAAATTCAATCTTTTACTGCCTGTGTGTGGTTGTTTTTCTTTTTCGTTTTCGTTTTTTTTTTCAATGGCATTGCTTCACTTTTGTTCCTAGAATTTTGCACTTGCTCTGCCGCCAGCCACTATGATGTCCTTTAGCTGAGTTTTTTCTTCACTTGTTTTGTCTCGCTTAGCTTTGCCTGGGCTTTGGTTTTTTGTTTTTGGTGTGGCACACGTTTTCCAACAATCTTCTGGTTCCCAGTGATAGTTTTGTATTCATCACATAAAGAAAATATATCATTTTCTTGGGGTTTTAGAGAGAGAGAGAGCAGGGTAGTCTTAGTTTGCCTTCATGGCCTTGAGAAGGAAATTTAATATAAATATAAAAATCATAAATTTAGTAGGCTTATCAGAAGTTAAAGTTGAACTTTAACACCCAAGTTTAAGATGATAAAACAAGCTAAAAGTATAAGTAAGATAAATAATTATTTTTCTTAAAAAATTAATAGTTTTCTGAAGTCATAAAATCATGAAAATCCCCCCTTCATTTCCCTCAGTGCACTACAACCCCTACCTACCCCCACACCTATTTTTTCGCCAACAGATTTTTCTGCGTTGATTTGTCTTGGATTTCTCTGGTCGTGTGTGTGTGTGTGTGTGTTGGTTCAGCCTTTAATTCATTAGACCACAATCGTATTAAGTCTGTAGTTGGGGATCTGTGCCTGCAATTTCATTTCATTTCGGTTCGACTCAGTCCAGTTCAGCTTTTCTGTTTTTCTGCTTTTTTTTTCTTCTCTCCTTTCGTGACACTTTTTTTTCCCAGGGCATCGCTTACAATATCCCCTCCATCCATACACACCAACACACACAATCTCATTGAAACACACGGATTGCTGTGGGACATGACAGCTTTTGGCTGTCATGTTTAGTCCGCGCGTTGTGTTGTGATTTCCGTTTCCGTTGGCAATCCGGCAAATGCATGCGGTTGTCTCTTTCACGCTTTTTACGCACCGCACGCTACGTGTCGCCGCCAATAAAAAAGTACAAACAAAAAACAGACAGCCGGAACAACAACAAAAACAACAAAAAATATAAACGGAATTACAAGTTAACCCCCACTACCCGCACTCTCAACATATAAGCACGCATCGATGCTATAAAAGTCAATAACGTCGTTAGCAAAAAAATATAAAAAAAAAATGAAAAAATCAAATTGAAAATATATAGTAAGACAGCGGAAGAGAAAGCGAAAATAAAAGAAAAAGTTCAGGCAATTCCTCGCTAATAAATTCGTCAGTCGAATAATTTGAGGGCAAGACAAAAAAAAAAAAGGAAGATTTAGGGGGACGTTGAACGGAGTTTCGACAATGGGATACTTAGCACGGATTTTATGGGAACATTAAGTGCTGGCTTAAGTGCTTATTTCGGGGAAAATCATCTGTGTTCTTAAGGTTTTTCAAGAAGCACTTAGTTTCTATATGCATTCTAAAAATATAGATTTTTTAATGTAATTTCTAGGCTATTCTACAGGGTGGCCCATTTAGCGTTTGCTTTTTGAACTATCGATAATTTTAACTTTGACATTTCGAATGTCATTGTCAATGTGTTAGATATTTAGTAGAAGGTTTGCGGTTTAAGAAATGATTTAAGTTAAGCTCGAAGAAAATTGGAAAATATTGATATTTTTATAGCGATTTTAAAACCAATTTACCCAACTCTTGTCATTATCTTTTCATTAATTGCTATTTCAATGTTTGTTGTTAATTAATATTTGAGATATGTAAGTGTTCCCTGAAGCAACCTATCTAAGCTATCGACCTATCAATGTGACATTCCAACCGCAAAAGCTGTGCATACCCCAACAGATAACCTCATCGTTATTGGGTATTAAAAATGTAGAGTCTCTAAGCGGATTTCAACATGCTTCATCCGCCCATGCTCATTGCGATTGATATTGGTATTGGTATTAGTATTGCGCCTTGCATGTGTATGTGTGTGTGAATGTGACGCCTCAATATGTGTATATGTATGGGGAGTAACTGTGAAGTGGGGGGTTTTAGTGTGTCTGTGTGTAAGAGAGGCGACGACTTTGTCGACGCCATTGCTGCCTGTTACAGGAAATCAAAGCTTATCAGCGACTACAAGGACGACTGTCGTTGCGCTGATTTCGTTTGCCCTGAGTCCTCCAGCCAACAAAACCAACCCCCCTCGGTCCCCTCCTTAAACCATCATACCCCTCCAAAATACAGTCAACCTCCTCCTCTTTAGGCCTTGTCGAGCTATTTCAATGCTACTCGAACTGCCACCCAGAATTGGTGGATTCCCTCCCATTAAATTACATGACGATGGCATTTCGAGCATTTGCTTTTTTTTCTCTTTTTTTTTTTTTTTTGGAGGAGATGCACACACACACACACATACTTACTTGCACACGCAAACGGCTGTACTTGTGTGGTAATCGCAATGTGTGTGGAAATTGATGTCAACAGGTTAATAAGATCTATATTTATGGCGCATTTATATATGTGTTTTCCAAGTGTCTCGCCCCGTCTCTTTTCCACTGAATGTTACCATCTCTCTCTCTCTGAGTGTGTGTACCGAGCAGATAAAAGATTATAGAGCTCCGCTTGAAGGAACTTGAATGCCTGCACCACATGAGGTAAAGTGGGTGGTTAATTAAGGAATGTTTTTTAAATACGTGAGCTGGAATATTCTTTTGAAATATATTTTTGGCAAGATTTCAGTTAGCATAATGATCTGTTTGCTGGGTTTGGGTATAGCATTTCCTTGAACCGTTGGCTGGGACACATTTTGTGGCTTATGGTGTACGTTAAATGGCTTAAACAGCATTACAGAAATTATCCCAGATATGCAGATGCTATCCCATTACAGTGTTTTATTTCTGTCTTTCATTCTTGGTAACGTTTATTTAAACGTTTAATTAATTTTAACAATTTTTATTACATTTTCCAGTGTGTAAATAAAGTTTGTAATAATGTTTAATTTCAGGGTTAAGCAAACATTTGAAAGAGGTTCATGATAAGTTCAATTAAATATAATTTAATTTCCCTTTACACTGCATATTGGTAATAAATATTTTCCCCATTTAATCAGTAATATAATTTCAAACAACTTTTATACCTGCATTTACACCATAATCCCCTCTTAGTATATGCACTTAAATAAGTGCATGATTTAATCATGTTTATATCAATCAATGGGTAAAATAAAATCAACTGTTTAAAGTCGTCAAGTGGATTACAGTGTTATACATAGTAATCCTTAAAAGGAGATTTTGATGAGCATTACAGCAAGCCACATCATAAAAAACATTTTTAATTACATCCTCCAATCGACTTTTCTCTCTTCCTTTGGCAGCAGCCTTCATTACTAGTCGGGGAAACTCATCGGGAAACTTTAATATTAATACTTTGTTGAAAAGAAGCTGGCAGAAAATAAGAGCGAGACCGGATAATATTGAGCAAGAATTTTTCACAGTCCATTTAATTTAATTAATTTTCATTCGTAATAAATTTTGTTTTTCTGCTGTGGCGGGCATTCTTTTTTCTCCCCTCAAAAAATAGTAAAAGAAAAGAAAATCAAAGACATCGACAAAGAAAACTGTTAAATTTAAATATATATATATATACAGAGAGAGGGAAAGAGAGCTATACTTCGATATGACTGCAGCTATGATTGACTTTTCCACTTAGTAAGAGGCAATGGTGGAAAATCTCTGTTAGCTGGGCATAGAAACCGGGCTATCTATAATCAATTTACACAATTTCCTCGTCATTTCCGCGATGCCGTCTCAAAGCCTGGGCTTTTAAAGAAGTAACTTGAATTAGTCTCTACTGATTGCTTTCAGCTTTTAGACCAGCTTTTAGTCCCTGCTCCTTTTTCCCCGATCTATCTCTGTCATTTTGGTGCCTTTGAACCAGCTAAACAATGTTCCCTGTCAGCAGAACTCGGTTGTAGTCGTTGTACTTTCACCATATCCTAGTAGTAGTTCCAAACGAGAGGCAGCAGTTTTTGTTAGCCGCCGCTCAAAATAGATTAACATCTTCACGCAGCGGCAATTAAACATGTAGCAGACACATAGATTTTCCTTTAGCACAAAATTCTACTGCTCTCGGTTCGACTAAAAAGTGTTTTTGGAAGTGGGTGAAGAACGAACAATGAATACGCTTTTTTATTGTAGTTTTAGCGGAGAGGAAGGGATATTAATTGGTTTTTTACTTTAGAAATATTAGATTGCTATTTTATGAAATATTTTTTATGATGGTTTTATATTTATTATTATCTTTTTTCTCATATTTAAATAACCAAAAGTTTCTAAATTCATTTTTTTTTATGAAATTTACTATAACCCCCATTTCTAGTTATGATTAATGGACTTCTTTTTGTCAAAGAAATCTCAACTTCTTACTCCACTCAAAAGAAGTCCGTCATCTCCGGGACTTCCTTCGAGGAGAGACCATTTCCGGTATTGCAACTACCCTTAGTGAGGGTATCTAAATACTGACCCCGCATATTGATACACAGACAACGAGAAAGAAGACGACGACGTAAAGTCGACTTAAAGGACAAGAACTCCGCCCCGTGCGGAAGTTGCAGGAAGTGGAGGCAAGGCAAGAAAAAAAAGGCATAAGATGGCAACTTTTTCCCCAGTTCTTATAGTGGCTGGCCTTCCTTTATTTCCGCTTTTCTCATTTTTTTTTTTTTTTTTGTTCATGCCCTACGTTCGGGTTAGTTGTGTTTTGTGGGCGGCGCACATGACTGGAAATTATTTAAGCAGCTGTCAGCTTTGCACCGTCGCGCTTTGGCAGGACCAAAATGAGGAATCGGAGGATATATCTATATGTTACATATACATGCTGCCACTGGTAGTTGAGGGTTAGCAAAAGACAGTCACAAATTGGCAGGCTGCCTTGGTAGTTTGCTCCAGTTGACTTTTTAAGCGCCAAGTGCGCACCCTGAACGCATGAAGATAAAAAGTACGGAAATAATCTCACTCCTTCCATACTGTGTGTGTGTGTGTGTGTGTGAGTATCTGGAGGGGGGAAGGACTTAACAACCCGTATGTCTGCATAAAAGTGAAGTTTAAGGATACGAAATGGGAGGCCAGGATGACTTTTTGCCAAGTTCAAGTTGCGCAACTAACTAATACAAGAGCCAAAAAAAAAAAAGTGTATGGCTCGGAATTCAATCAGCCAAGAGTTCGACGGGTTAATTGAAACTTGGTTGCCTCGCCAGTGCTTACATACTTTAATTGAAATTTGGAGTACTTAAGAAACTCACGAAACTTTCGATCTATGGGTTTCCAGTGGACTTACTATTACTTCGAACATTGTTTTTGCTACGAAGTGTTTTTCGTCTTTTGGATTTCTGTTAAGAAAAGTCCACAATCCGTTGAAGGTTTGGTTAAAAAAATGTTGCATAAATTTGGGTTTTTATTTAATTACATTTATCTACGTTTATATTATATTTTTTAATAATATTTAAGGGTTTTATTTACGTTTTAATTTACATTATATTATTTAACACAATCTTCAAACTTTCGAATCTATCCGATCGTCGTTTTGCTCCGCTTGAGCACGTCTTCACTTCGTCAGATCTTCTTTCCTTCCTTCCTCGTGTCCTCGTTGCTTCTCCTGTCGTTTTCTACTTACATATTTCGCTAAACTTCTCTCCGTCATTTCTACTTCTTTCGTCAGATGGTCACTTGTCGTCGCTGTACTCCGTCTTCTTTTACTTCTTTTGCCAGAAGCTCATTCGTCGTCGCTTTGATCTTTTCCGTCGTCTTTTTACTTCCTTTCGCCAGATGGTCCTTCGTCGTCGCTCTGATCTTCTCCGTCTCCTTTTTACTTCTTTAACAGATTGTCCCTCGTCGTTAGCTTTTATCGATATCTCTTCGATTTGGTATTTTGTTATCTATGGATTTGGTATGTTTTTGGAAGTGTTATTTATTAACCACTCTCACATAAAAATAAAATATGCTATAAATATTGGGTTAGAGAGGGAGAAAAACTAAAGTTTTTAAAACTAGTGGTAAGTTTATGTTAAACTTGTACAAAGCTTTTACAGTATTAAAACCTTAAACGAATACAAGCTGTATTCAAATTTTAAATACTTTTGCTGTCTTTTAACCTTCTTTTGCTTCTTAAAACCCCATAAAATGGTAACATTTTAATTTGCTGAAAAGAAAACTCCCTAACAGTAATAAAGATGGATTCTTTATTGATATCGCTTTCCCACCTGTTCAATTCCATTACTCTGCATTGGTAATTGAAACCTTGTATTTCACCAAGATAAACGCCGATAAACTATTTTGCTAGCTTTTAAGGTAAAGAACATTTAATCAAATAAAAGCAACCCACCCCCTTACCAAAAAAAAAAACTTCGTCTTAAGGACTTACCATATGCATATTGCTAACACGCCACATCGTAGATGCCACAAATAAAATTAATTTGCACAGCCGTTTTTCATTTCGTTTGTCGCTTCAATGTTTAATGTCTGAATGTGTGTGTGTGTATAAGTGGGTGTGTCTGTGTGTGAGCGTTCCTTGCATATTTTAGCAAGATTGCATTCATTCCAAATTCATCGCTCTTATACCCATCCATCCACCTAGCAACCTACCCCCAACCCCAACCCCACCAGCCGCCCATGCCGACACACACCTTTGCGCTTCACCACCTTCCACCTTTGCTGGAAAAGAAGCTACAATCACTTACTACTACTCCACGTGGCCCGTTGGTATCCTGGAACAAGGACGAGTTGAAGCCGTTTTGATGGGGGGGTAGATTTATATGTGCTTAGTTGCCTTTGGAACGTCGTTCACCAGCGAATTTATAACATTTTTAATGCAAATTGGGACATGAAAAGAGTTAATTTCCTTTATGAACAAAGGCAGTCAGTCAACATTTCAAACTCAAGGAGTCTTTTTACTTCTTAGCTGTGCTGGTTAAATTCATCCTTGGCTTGCTTTAGTTGAATTTAATGGTATTTGGTAATGGGAATTGGCCTATTATGGAGATTGCTTAGAATTTTTAAAGGTAAAAATGAGTTTTTAAGGAATAATTACAGCTTAAAAGAGTTTCTTAACTTTTTGGATTAAAGATAAGTTTAAAAACTCTTTTCGTCAAACAAATTTTAGTATTATAAGATATATAATTTTTATTTACTTTCTTTTTAATCAAGTTAATTAAAAACTAATAACCCATTATCATCTATTATATTTTGCAGACTTGCCACGATTGTAACGAATGATTTGTATGAATTTGAAGGCAACCTTGGAGCTGAAAGGATTAAGCAGTCGCATACTTTACGAGCCCAGTAAGTGCCGCAGCAAACTCATTAACATCGAATACCCATCGAGATATAGAACAGTCGATATATCATTTTACGGGGCTCCCATCAAAATAAACAACTTGACCAAAAATTATACCCTTAAGCGGGGCTGCAATAGCTGGCAATTTACCTTGGGGCGTGTGAGGCGGGGACCGTAAATTCCCGGGCAGACTGAAAGGAAGTGGGGAAAAAAAATTTATAGACAAACTTGTGCTATTGCAGTGGTTCGGGTGGGTTTTTCGGTATGGCAGAACTTTTGCTTGAATATAATATTCATAAATTTAATCCAAGCAAACACTTTTCGCGTATTTCGTGAGCTTTATTTTTGCAACTTTTTTTTGGTCGTTTTTGGGCTCAGTTTTTTTTTGTTTTTATTTTGGCTGCCCACGTTTATCACTGAGACGACGTCAAGTATTCCACTTTTGCAACATTTTCCGGGTTCGGTTTGCTTTTACCTCCCTCTGTCTCTCTTGTTCGCTTTTCCTAACTCTCTATATCTGTGTTTTCGTGGCAAAGAAGAAATAAACAAAATAAATAATTCATAATGCAAATAGGCCAAAAACACACAGAGACAGAGCAAGCCGAATGCCAAGGCAATGGGAAAAATAAGAGCCCGTGGCAATATTGCAACCCAGATCCTGGACTCCTCCAAGTAGGAGTCGAGGTATCAGACTCGGGACTTCGGACTCCTTCACTTTGGTCCTCTCATCTACGATCCTGTTGGACGACTCGGCGTCAGGCAATCTGGCCTGTGTACATAAGCACTTTTTCGGCCGAAAGGATTATCAAACGAATCAGGTATTCCGTCCATTGTTGGCATTGCCCAAATGAGGGATCGCCTGGGCACATAAAGCAGTAAAACAATCACGAACAAAAAAAATGTCAATGGGGTCCTCTGGCTCTGGGCACCGCAATAAATTTCAAGGACCTTTTGGTCGAAAATTTGGAAGGTTTGCTTCAGGAATTACCTCCATTAGGATCAATATGTTAAGTTCAGGATTAATTTAGTACTTTTTAAAGAGATTCTTAATGTATTGCCTGTTAATAAGGCTTAGTAGGTGTTAAAAGTAACTGGTTTTATTGGTAATTTAAAAAAGTTATTGTTTTTAAAACTCATTAATATCTAGGGAAGAAAATTTAACTAATTACTGATAAAGTTAGCTAGATTAAAGAAGAAAATCGCGTTGCACCTCATTTTCCTTTTGCAAATTACATCCCCTTGCTATCTAAGGCTATTAGTGCTCCACCCCTATTTAACGTTTAAGCCCCCCTAACCGAAAACAATGCCAAGTTCGATGAACCGTTTCTCGCTGTGCACTCTCATTCCGGTTGAACTTATGGCCCGTGTAGCTAAGCCACGGTTAAGGGTTTTACGGCTTTAAATAGTCAACCAAGGCTAAGCAGGGGCCGCAACATCAACAACGGAGAGGTGAAATCCGGATAGGGAAAAGGCCAACACCGCATATATTAAATAAAAAATGCAAAATCGTTAGGGCCTTCTAAGGGTGATGAGGGTGACTCTCTCGGCCAAAAGCGTGTGCAACTGAAATAATCAAAAAAAAAAAAAAAAAAAAAAAAAAAAACCTAAAAAACAGAAAGGGAAAAAGTAGGTGGAAAAGCTAGAAGAAGAAGAAGAAGCAGAAGAAGCGTTACCAGTAGCACAAAATAAGAAGAAGCGGCAAGCGTAATCGCCAGCAACACACACACACACACACACCCACTCACACACTCACTCAACATGGTAAAAAATGCAACAAAATCGGATTAAAAAGTGCTCACGGGTTGAGCAACCGAGCAAAAGACCAAAGCCAAAGCCAAAAGCGGCTGCCAGAACCCTAAAAAACAGAAGTAAAAACAAAAAAAAATATATAGACAAGAAAGAGCCATAAAGTCAAGTGTTGCAACTAAAAGATACTTGGTAGTTGATATCCTGTTGGGGAAATACGGAAAACTAACTCATAACTTCAAGTAAATAATCCGATTTGTATTTGGCAAGAATGTTGACTATACCACAAGGTTAGCTTTCAAAGTTTGGTAACTTTTAGTAACAGATTTCCCGTCAAATTCTAATATCTAACTAACTCTTAAAGATCTAACTCTTAGGCCCTAAGCATTCTAATGATAACCCACTTTTTTACATAAATTTCCGCATCTGCAATATGCCCGTTTAATCTTGCATTACCGGGTATTATAAATCCCCAACCCCTTAACCTTTTGCCATCCAACCAGCAAAAGAGATACAAATTGCAGTAAGACGGTTTTTTTTATAGTTCAACGATGGATTTACGATGTTGCACGACTTTGAACTACATTTGTTGGGGGGGCAGTTGGGGGGTTTTGGGCTTAAAACGCCACCAAATCCCCGCGGACTGCTTAAGTTTGTTGGTGTTGGGTTAGTGGGTTGTTCTAGGGGTTAGAGGTAAGGGTTCATCTACGGACGGGTGCTGAATAAAACTATCTTTCCATCTATCCAGCCAGCTAGTTTGTTAACAGCTAACCAGTCGGGTGTGTTGTTCCACCGGGTGTAACTGTACTTGCCTGCCCGTTCGACCGTTACGGCTCGTAAAAGTTGCAACTTTTTCCTTAGCTGTACCACCCAACCCACCCAGCCCATCCAAACACTCGATGAACTACAAGTAGATGCAAAAAGGCTGAGGCCAGGCGGTAGTAGTAAGGAGCACATAATACGGCCGTAAACTGGGAATGCTACGTCCGTTGCAAGTTGCAACAAAATTGCAGCCATGTTCTAAGCCGGTTTACGGTCGCACCCATTGGGGGTAAATATTTGTTAGAAGGGGTGACGGGAGAAGTTGAGAGGGCGTCTCTGCACGCCTCTGAAGGAAATTACGGATTCAAATTAGCGGCACTCAATCTCAATCTGGGTAGAGGTTCGGCCCGCCCACTCAACCGCCAGCTAATGCGTTTTATGATCCCCACTTTATAGAGCCAACCCGGCACTTAAGAAAATCAATTTCGGAATATATCCTTAAATAGTTTCTTCAATTCTTGAAATGCGTTAAAAATTGTATCAATTAATGTTTAAATATTTTCAATTTTAAGTTGATTATAAAAAGTAGTATCTAAGTATCTATAAAGTACATATTTTCTATAAGGTAGGAATCTAATATCCTACCTTAAGGGATAACCCTTTGATTTTACAACTTTTTCCCACAGTGCATCCTCTTTATATCCCACCCAGCCATCGATCCTTTTTGGCCCACTTTTATGCAATTTAATCAACTTATCGCGTAAAATGCACAAAACGTTTTTCTTTTAGTTCGCCAACAAGTGCAGCGGCGAAAATAAAACAAAAAACAAAAAAAAAAAAGGAAAATATAACCCCCACCAAAGTAATCAATGATTTTTCAGTTTGTGCATTAAAATGCAAAGCCCTGAAAACCCCATGGCAAAAACCCAAACCGTTTCAGCCACATTTTACTCATTGGCTCTGTTGCTTATTTAGGGCTAATTAAGTTTCATTTAATGGCTGCCATTGGGAGTCGTCCGATGAAGAGGTCCCGAGGTCAGAGGGTGGCTCTGCTCTTGGTACTTTACAGTTTACCAGTTAGTTGTTGTTGTTGTTGATGATGGCTTCCTATAAAAAAAAAAACTAAATAAAAAACAAGAAAATAGAAAATATCCGCGTGCCGCTTTTTAACTTTTTCCAGAGTTGGCAATTGAAAGTTTCTTGCGGCTGTGGAAAAGGGGGGGAGGATTTTGAATTTGTAGAGAGTGGAGTGGGTTAAGTTGGAATCTAACCCCAACCCCTTCTCCCTTTATGCAATTTAGGGATTTTAACCGAACTATGGCTAACTTTTGTTTCAATGATCCGACTTTTATTTAGACAGAGTTTTGTTTTCCATCTCTCTGGCTGAGTTTTTTTATCGTTTAATCTGGGCATCGCTTTCAGCTCTGAATTGGTGATTAGCGATATCATTTTTTTTTGGAATTTGAATGGAAAGTAACTTTATTTGGCAAGCACTTAAATGGTTTTTAGCTACTAATGCAAAAAATGAACATCAAAATGTTAGTACTTAGCCTTATTAGTGGCTAAATCTTCAGACATAAAAATGCCCTTTAATTAGGTATAAAACCCTCATGTAAGCCACCACAGTACATATACAAATCAAAATCAAATAAAAGTAAAACAAAATAAAAAATAAATTTGTTAATTAAATAAATTGGCTGACCACAAGTCCAACCTTGTTGTTTCCTCTTTGGATGTCATTAGTTCTGTGGCTTTGATTCCATAGAACGAGATTAACGAAAATAGCTGGCAATTTTTCGATGGGGCCCATTTAATGTCTGTCTTCAGTACAAGACTAATGATGACCTTCTAGGGTCAGATCGTACCACACTGTTTTAGTAATTATGGGTATCTAATAATGGCTAACTCAGCAGACTAACAGAGACTAAGTCAAGTTTTCCCTTCGTGATTTGAATCATTCATGACTGCATGACGAAGATCCAGTGTATAAACTTGGGCGAGTTTAATGATTTATAATTGACAGAAAAACACTTTGTTCAGTTCGTCTCTCTGATTGAAACGAATCGAGGCACTTGTAATGCCAACAACAAGCTGCCTTCCAATATCGAAACCAGCCAACCAGTCGGCTGGTCATTATTCATAGTCCCCATAGTCGGGGCATAGCAGAGGCTAATATATAGATTTGTATATTATGAGCCAGGTAAACCGGTTCGTGTAAGGCATTTCTTTCAAGTGCACATATACTGTAGGTTCTCACTCACCCTTTACTGCGCCAAACCAAATCAAATCCACAAACGGACGAAACAAGTTTTCAAACAAACTGGCTCGGCTGGCCATTTGAATATTTATGAATTCTAGTGTAAAAAAAAAAGATATATAAAAAAATAAGAAAATAAAAAAAAGTTCTTAGTGAAACGAAGATTTTGATACACTTTTTAATAAAATATTTTTAAAAATTATATAATAAGTAAAAGTTAAGTTAACTTAAAACGGAAAA